TCAGAAAATGGCAGCCCTCGGAGGTCAAAAGGTGAAGCAAGGACACGGAAACCCTCTCCGTGCCTGCTCCAGACTGGTGAAAACCACTCCGTGGTTGGTAGTCTCTTACTGGGAAGGAGGGCTGGTCTGGGTCACGAGATTAGTTTTTGTTCAGCCCTTTGGAACAAAATCTGATGGCCATTAGCAAGGGAGGGGAATGATGGGGCACGTCTGACCTCTCGTCCTGTCATGGCTGGGAACTCAGTGTAAAGGTTTCTCTGGGGTCCCCTTGGCTGAAAAGGGGTCTGTGTAATCAGCTGGGGGCTTAGGATTTTATTTTAGTTCACATCTGTTCAGGATTATTTGAGAAACAGAAGTTTCATTGCATCTTTGCATCTTATCTTTTCACACATCAAAATCATAAATATTCTTTCCATCTTCTGTTTCCCTCTCACATTTAATTCTTTAACCAACCTGGAGTTGATTTTTGTGCTTGATATGTATACATCCCATTTTATTTTTTTCCTGTAAATGATTATTATAACACCAATTGTTGAAAACACCATCCTTTACCTATTCTGAGAATATTAAGGATAAAATCACACTTAATTTCTCTGGTACACTCCCTCAACAATCAACACAGAAGATTTTGTATGCAAATGTGTGTCGGTTTTTCCCCCACACGTCAAGCAAGCGATCCACTCTGCAGCAGACCCTGGCAAGGTGTCCTCCAATTTAACTCAACTCTGACACTATCTCCCTGGAGTTGGCTTCGGATCCCACAGGGTAAGGGCTCAGTCCCCAAGACTGCCTCCTTCCTCCAACTTCAAATGCCAATCCCAAGCCCCTTTATGTGTGTTGTGACTGATGGGCTATAAACTGGTGTTCCTGTAACCCTTCCTCCAGTTAGATTAATTTGCTACAGCAGCTCCCAGAACTCAGGGAAACACTTAGGTTCCCGGGTTCATTATGAAGGATATTACAAAGGATGTCAATGAATGCCAGATGCAGACACCCACAGGACAAGGTATATGGGGAGGGGCATGGCGCTTCCGTGTGCTGTCCAGGCCTGCTACCCTCCAGGAACCGCCATGTGTTCAGCTAGCTGGAAGCTCTCCAAACCCATTCTTTTGAGTTTTTATCGAAGCATCGTTCCTTACCAATGATTGATTAAATCATTGGCCATTGGTGATCAACTTAACCTTCAACACCTCTTCCAGCAGGTGGGGATGGCGTGGGGCTCAAAGTCCCAGTGCTGCAATCCAGCTGTGGTCTTTTTGATGGGCAGCTCTCATCCTGAAGTTACCTAGGGGCTGCCAGCCATAGGTCAACTCATTAGCATACAAAAAGACACCACCTTGAAGATTCTAAGGATTTTAGGAGTTGGATTTTAGGAATTATAAACCAGGAAACTGGAGGAAGACCAAACATATATTTCACAATATCACACCTATGGATCCAAAGAGCCGGCTCTGCTGAAAATCAACTTGCCTTATATGCACAGGTCTGTGTCTGGACTATTTATTGTGTTTCCTTGGCTATCTTGTCTCTCCCTGTGTGGCAGAAACTACGTTGGCAGGTCACCAAGCCCATTCCCTTTTCATGCTACTACGTTACTCAGCCCCTCTTGCCATTAAATGGGCCACATGACTGCACTGTATATGGTAGGCAGACAGCAGCTGTGGACACCATCTCCACCCTTGACCCCTGGACTTTCCCATGAGACCATTCACAACGTCTCCATTCACTTGTCTGTGGCCAATGGGGAGAATACAATGGAGTATTTTGAGTCTATAATCAAGTCTAGGCTCTAAGTGCATGAAGTGCTCCTCCTGCTCAGCAAGTCACCATGTAACCCTCCCTCACTGACACCACCCTGCTTTGGACATTAAAAAGTATTATTATCACTTGTTTAAACCAATATAGATCATTGAGAATTGCGTGTAATAGGCTAAGATTTTTAAAATATATAAGTACTTGTATGATGCATCCTTACGCTGTGCGAATTGGAAAACTGTCATTAGGGCATCATGAAGCCAGCTCCATGAGGACACGGACTGTCATTGGTAACATAGAGTCAGGAGGGCAAATCTATTGTTGTAAAATACTAACATCATTCTATTGATAAGGGAAAGTAAGACACCCCGTTCTCTCAGGAGACCACGACACGTGCCAGCTGACGGCTTACTCCCCGTTCAGGACAGATCACATCCTTTCTGAGTACATGAAAAAGTAACCAGGCCAAGTACACACAATAGGAGTGAGGGCGCCAGGCTCGAAATGCATGTCTTTTCCCCATCTGGACGGTTTTCTAATTTAAGCATGGTCCTGGCTGTAATCAATGGTGAGTATTATCAGTAGTTTCCTCATTTTTCCTATCTAAGAAAAAACCACGTTAAGAATTTTTTCAGCCCAGGCACAGTGGCTCACACCTGTAATCTTAGCACTCTGGGAGGCTGAGGCAGGAGTATTGCTTGAGGTAAGGAGTTTGAGACCAGCCTGAGCTAGAGTGAGACCCCGTCTCTATTAAAATTAGAAAAAATTAACTGGGTATGGTGGCGCATGCCTGTAGTCCCAGCTATAAGGGAGGCTGAGGCAGGAGGATCACTTGAGCCCAGGAATTTGAGGTTGCTATGAGCTAGGCTGACGCCACGGCACTCAAAAAAAAAAAAATTTTTTTTTTTTCAAATTTAGGGATGAATATTTCTGACACTGTTTCCACACGGTCCTTTGGTGATGCGGATCATTGTCTCTGTGCTGCCTTGCACAGCTCTGGCAGCATGATGTGGTGGGTAAAACTAAGAGTGCAGCCTCTGGGCTCAGCGTGGTCATAAAACCTGGCTCTGCTGCCTAACTTGGTGACTTCAGGCAAATTACTCATCTCTGTGTCTGGCCATTTATTTATAAGATGGAGATGATGGTAGTCCCAATTCATAGGGTTGTTTTGAAGACTAAATGAGATAATTTTTGTAAAGCACTTAGAAGAGCGTCTAGCACTTAGCAAAGTCTTGTTAAATGTGGGTTATCTAATGTGAGAAATCTGACTTAGTGACCGTAAGTTTGAGGAGATAGAAAATATAGGTGAAAAAGATTAAAAATTCAAACTGAGGAACAATAGCAGAATTAGAAAGACATGTTATTCAGATAGAATATATTGATAAAAATGAATATGTACAGTAATCTTACAATTTGATAGATATATCTGTGTTTGGTTATTGGAAAAACTATACAAAAAGCCCAAGGCAGTTGCCAACGGAGGTCCAATTATTAATGTCTTCCTATAAAAAATATTATTGTAGTTGAAAAATTATGAAGCAAATCACTCTTTATTGACATAAGCACATGCAATAAATATTAACACAACTGGAATATTATAATCAAGGGTACAAATTGGCTTTATCAAAAAGGTAGAGATTGTTTTGTCATCTTCCCCCAAATATATTTTAGGGTGATCACTGCATAAACTCAGAAAAAAAGAGGACAAGAGAATTAAAAACATATGAGTGTTTATTGTCAAAAATAGACAAACTTTAATTTCCTTTAACAGGAATATTAATTTAAGAGCCTCTATAAACCATCGCCATTTTGTAAGCACAACAGGGAAGAGAGCCGAAAAAGGACAAGAGTTCTACAACCATGCCCGAGAAGCCTCGCCCAGTCAGCGATGATGACTCTGAAACAGTGGCAGAAACACAGTGACTTTTAGAGCCCTGAATGACAGATTCACAAACGTTGACTTACCCTGGCCCAGTTCTATGAAGATTGGCTTCATGGTCTCTTTCCAAGCATTTGAAGAATTTAGTCTGTTAGAACACTTGCTAATTTCAACAGTGACATTTTAGGTCACTTGTAGTATCAGTAACAGGATCACACCTGTCCCTGAGTAACACCAGGATGAATGCATCTGTCCCTATAACCCTGGTCTCTGGTGTGTGCCGTGGTGCTAATAGCTTGGGCAGAAACCTGAATAAGCTCCCCGTCTGTGACCCACAGCAAGGGCGTGAAGGACTTGCTGAACTGAACACTGTTATGGAGGCTAAATTCTCTTATTAACATAAAATTAAAGAACATATAATGATCTAGTTAGTTGGAATAAGACGAAACATAGGCCTTTGTTATTCCCTAGAGACAGGTATCCAAGGTGGAAGAAAGCCGGGCGTGTGCACCGGTTTTCTGGAGCACGATTTGCATTCTCTAGTCTGTGTTATAAACCAGATCTCCATAGCCAAAGCAGATCTGTAAATATACCCATCTCTATAATTTAAAGTGGTAGTGTGCAGCTATTGCCTTGAAGACTGGGGTTAAGATGAGATACCTAAATACCCAGAAAAGGCCAGCGATAACACTGACATGGTGAGATGGTTCATCCGAGATCAAGCACTGCAATATTGGAAAGAAGCCAGATGGCCAAAAGAATCAGAAAGGGACTGGGCCTGTGACCTCACTTGCCATCGTCACAGGCATTCATCATTCACTCAGTGGAAAAGTGATCAACTACATGCAAAAAAATCAGCTCAACATTTTTCCATTTTTCTGTTTAAAGATAGCATTCAATACTTGAGAACTAGGAAAACTGGGCTTATGTCGTACCATAAAGTTATCTAAAACAATACCATGGTAGCTACAAGGGCAGCTCAAGCTTTTGTCCCCGCTTTGAAACATGGAGGACACAAAGGACAGTGACGTAGTTCGGTCGCCACTGTGATATTTCTCATTCGCTCTTACCTCCGGTTAAGTTTGAATTAAACTCACCCACTTCATTCTACCCTCCTGTCTAAGAACCCTTCAAATTTGAGCAGGAAACTGGTAGTGTGGGCTTCTGGAAGTTTTGATGAGCATCATTTAGTAAGAGTCTGTGATTGGAAGGATCACTTTGAGAACTTACAGGAAGAAAAGCCATATGAAAATCAAAGTAGGCCAATCTGATTTGTACAGTCTATTAGCAAGACCCCCCGAGCAAAGGTGTGGAGTCAAATACAAATCTGAAAGGGATGGCTTCTTTTCCTTCCTTATTCCATTCCATTCTGTAAAAAAACATGATATATGCAGAAAATGGACACTCTCCTGGGTCATTTCTCCAAGGCCACAATGTCAGCCCGTTAGCTGTAGTTGCCATAAATGTGAAACACAAAGATGGGCCACATTTGGGTTTCTTACTGAGGGCACATGGGGAAAGCTACGGATCAGTTTAATCGACTAGCTGCTTTGTTTTATTACCCAATCATGGAAGGATCTTTTTAAATTTTTTGTTTTTAGCACTCTTCAATGACTGTGGTTCCAATTAGTGAGTAAAGTTTTTTCTTAACAAGTCGAAATCCTGAGCTGAGAATCAGAGTTCGCCTGAGGCCGGATGAGAAGCGACCTCTACTAAAGAAAAAGTCCCTCAAGCTAGGCCACGAGCAGTTCTCCTGCTTGAACACAAGCGTCAGCTCAAAAGTAGGCACCACGCTAGAATCGCACACGATCCTATCCAGCTTTTTACACACATTTTCGATTTCCAAGTTCACGTGGAGAACACAACCTCGCAGGCCGCAGGGCTCCGTGGAGGACAGCCGTAGGACATCCTGAGCAATCCTCTGGGTCAGTTTATCGGGGACGAGGACCTTTGAGCAACCAAGTTTCGTTTGCTTGGATTTGGACAGACAGTTCTCCAGCATTTTAACCAAATTCTGGCAAGTCGTCTCCTCAAATATTACCTCGTTAAGGTTGGGTTCAGGAACGACATAATCCCAGTAGTCAAAATCTGTAGGAAAGGAAATTTTCTTTTTAGATAATGAAAATAAAACGTCCAGGAGTAGAAAAAACACACCGAGATAGCAACATTCATTACCACCATCCAGCATGTCTGCCTGTTTCTAATATTCGTTTGAGAGTCAGCTGACCTCACTTTGCTGTTAACTAGCTAGGTAACACAACGGAACATTTAACCTCTCAAGAATTAAAGTTCATCTGTGAAATAAAGGTTTTGATGATAGGGTGGATAGAATATAGCCATTTTTCTTTAAATTTATATATATGTACACACACCATCTTAAAGACTATTCATCAAAGATCTACTTGTGCTTAGCTCAGATCATTAGCGATTTTCTTTTCTTTCTTGCCTGCTTGCTCATGGTGGTTTTCTAATTTTTACAGAAAATATGCATCACTTTGAGACTAAAAACGGTTGTAATTTTTTTTTTTTTTTTTTTTTTTAGGATTGAGGGACTGTTGCTTTCTACCTGTAGAAATACATGTATTGTAAAATACAGACGTTTTGCTATTGTTCTTAAGTGGGCCCATCATGAGCCCGATGAGCTCTATTAAAGATCTATCAAATTTGTGTCTTTCTTTAGAATAGCCCGTAGATCCCAATTTTAGCTTTAACCTCTTTGATTAAAAATTGCTCAAAGAGAAGCCCTTTGAGATCCATGAGGATATTTATAACTCACTGGGTAGTTCTTCTTAGCCAAGCAAAACAAAATAGTCCTAGGGAAACAAAATTAGATTTGCTCAAAGGAAAAGAGATAGCTCTGCATTTGGTTACCTACCTCCCAAATTAATCCTACTGCTTGGCAGGATGCCATGCCCCACACAGGGTCAAAGGAGCAGGGCACAGGCAGACGGCCCTGCCAGCCTCCCCTCCCTGAGCTTACTTTACCTTCGTGTATTCACTTAGATCATTTTATTTACAACTAAATGGAACAAATGCACTCTGAACTAGAAAGGCTCCATATTTTATCCAGGTTGAAGAGAGAATGTTAGAATTCTGGCAGGTAAATTAGGTCACGGACCACTTCACCTTCTAAAGGAGGGAGGCCCAAAGAGCTCACACAGCTCTTCAGTGGCAGAGCAGTGGGACACCTTAGAAACTGCTGTTTACAATTGCAAATGACAGGGAATCCAGCGACACCGCTGTTGAAAAGTTCCTTCTTCCATTAAAAATGGAATAACGGGTGTAACCACAAATAGAATCCTACTCAGTAATAAAAAGGAACACACTGATAAAAGACACAACATGGAAGTATCTCAAAAACACTAGTTTGCGCGCAAGAAACCAGATACCAAAGAGTTCAATCTGTATGATTCCACTTTTTTGAGGTTCTAAAAGGCAAAACTAACTTACAGTGACAAAAATGAGATCAGTGATTCTCTGGGGTCAGGGGAGGGCGGAGAACTGATGGCGAATGGGACACGGGGATTTTGGGGGGTGGTTCCGGTTACAGGGGTGAATACATTTGTTAAAACACACACAACTGCACACTTCACACTCATGCAGAACGAGGAACTTTATCCCAAAGAGCCCACTGGCAGTAGACTAGCATGATGCGGCCCTCGGGTATTTTATTTTTGTTGCTTTTGTTTCTCACCATCAGGAACAGAACATGCTGGAAAATTTGGAAAGGGGGTCTCTTGAGATGGATTGCACAGCCCAGTCCCGACATCGAGGAAGAGGGCGGAGTCGCACGTCCCAGATCCACCAGGGGCGCGGAGCCCCGCAGGGCAGAGGCGGGCGGGCACTCACCGCTCAGCAGGCTCCCGGGGTGGCCGCCGCGGCCCAGCAGCTCCGAGATGCTGGCCGGGTTCTTAGTGCTCACGCTGCCCGTCGCAACCATGGTCAACGGCTCCGTTTCCCTCGCGGGGCGGAACGGCCTTTCTGGGGCGCTGGGAAAAAAAAAGGAGGCGAGAAGGAAGTTTGCAAAGAGGCGAGGCGTGCAGGGGCTCCTACAGCGCCGGGCGCTGCCGGAGCGAACTAGCTGCGACTCCTGCTCCAAAGGGGCCACCGGCCTCTGCAGCTCGAGTTCACGAAGCCCGCGGGCGGAGACGCCACTACAGCCCCGACCGGAAACTAGCGCAAAAGTTTGCAAAACTTGGAAGCCACTTGCCCCGCCGGGGCGCCTCCCTGCCCCGCTCCCCACGCCGGACCGCGGGGTCGCTCACCTGCAGGGGTTCCGGGAGCGGACGCGCTCGCTGGCAGTGCCGTGGGGTAAACAGAGGCGGGGACACCGTCCGGAGTCCCCGTCCCGGGGGGGCTCAGGGACCTGCAGAGCCCAGCGGGGACGGACGCCGGCTCGCGCCCCTGCCACCCAGCGCCGCCCCACCGAGCAGCAGGGCCCGGCGGCAGCGCTTTATACGGCCGGCGCTCCCCGCCCCGCCCCGCCCCTGCCCAGGCCGGTCGCGTTTCAGCCCCTGCACTCCGGGCGGGGCGGGCCGCCGGCAGGGGAGGATGAGCCCGGTGGGGCAGGGCGGACACGTGCTGTTTTCTGGGTAGGCCGCGGTCGCCGTGACCGCAACTGCTGGCCGCCGCCTGCGCCACTGGCCCGGATTCGGGGTGCGACCCCCCCCCCCCGCGCCACCGCGCCCGCGCCGTCGGGGCAGCGGGAAGCTGCATGCCCTCGTTCTAAGGCCGCGACCTGAGCCTTTGCTGTGCCATCGGAACCCTGGGCTTAAGTCCCATTCGCTGTTCAATGAGCATCGTTTTTGCGCCCGGTTCTGGCCTCCAACCCAGTCTACGCTGCCCCGCATCCCGGGTTCCTGCATCCTCCTCTCCTGCACGCGGTCAGGGCTGACTTTCTCGCCCAGCGTTGCAGCCCTCGTGGCGTCACCTCTGTGACTGATTCGCTTTCTCCGCGGGGAGGGGGGCCTGGCGCTCCCCTAATTAGACGTAGCCCCAGCGCACGGGCAGCTCGAACTGGGGAGTTTGCCAAGGACTAAACAAAACCATTAGCGGGATCTTAGCTACTTCCTCCTCCCGCCCCGTCGTGGGGAGCAATCGTCATCGCCAGAGGCACAAGTTCCCGGGGAGCCCCATTGGGAGGAACGAGGCCCCTCGAGGCCTGGGAGAGGCCGGAGGCGATGAAGATAAGGAGGCCTGCATCCTGCTGGGGACAGTCCCTGCCGAGCTCCAGGGCAGTTTTCAACGGGAGCACACAGGGCAGAGGAGCCCTGAAAGGAGTCAGTCCCCTGGCACGACCCACTAGCCAGAGGCCAAACCTTAATTTCTTCTTCCGCAGTTACTAAGGCACCCTTTTCCCGCTTGGGTGTGCCAGCAGGAGCCGGTCTGGTATTCCCAGCGAGTGTGGGATGGGCAAGGGATGAAAACGGGGAGATGCCCGGGGGGAGGGTTGTTTGTTTCGAGAGTAGAGGTTCCAGGGTTGGCTCCCCGCCCTGCAGGATTAGGTGTAGAAGGATCTGCAGGTGAGGGCCTTGAAAGGCAGTTTCAGCTGTCCAGGCTTAAATCTCTCAGGAAGAAACACAACAACAGAAGGGGTGAGGAGGGTGTGATAAACAGAGCAGTGGGAGGACATTGGGAGGCAGAGCAGCAGAAATTAAAGCCAGCTTGACAGTCCATTTTTAACTCACTTCGGGCAGCTGCACCGCCTGAAGGTCAGGCGAGCAAGCAAGGAGATGCTGATAGGCTGATCTTTGAAAGCAGATTTCCACTTCTATTTCAATAACAGAAAAGTGGAAAATAAACAAGCCCATCAAAAAGCAGTTTCAGTGGCTCCTGTGTTCAGGACCAATAGATGGGCCCCTTGTCAGGTGTCAGATGCCAGCTGCTGGACAGTCTGTCCCTGGGCAGGCCACAGAGCCTCCTGCCCTTATCTGGGCAGCATTACTAATGAGCCTGCCCCTTACCTGCCTCTGAAAAGAGTTATCAGAATGAATACAATGAGGGATCTGAACTTACCCTAGTGAAATAAAGAAATTGCTCATTTCAATTTCCTTAGGGTGTTTATGCATAACTCTTAACCTAAGGACTCCTGCAGGGCCAGAAAGCTCATTGGAAGTTCTAGAAAGTTCTTGGCTCACCTGACCAACTGAAATTTTGCAAAGCCTTTTGGGATTTGACCGCAGAAAACAACTTACCTATGTACAAAAGACTTCAAATATCTTTTTATCTGAGTGGGCCTTGCTGGCATGACTTACCAGGCATAAACAATGATCGAGGTAGAATACATACCTGGAATAATCGGCAGAGATTGTCCTTTTTTATCTACTTAAAAGGGTGACAAATTCATTCTATCACCAGTTTGCATCTTTGCGGGCTTAAAGAGCTTATTTTTAAAAATGAAGCATAGAACAGAATTGGGAAAAACGAAGTCCCATACTAGTCCTGTCATGAAATGACATAGTCTATCAGATTTTTTTTTAATGTTATAGATACAGTTAATCATTTATAACTGAAAGTTTATCACATTGATGTACTTCTGGTGTTTATCAAATGCAGCGATTAAAGAAGTTCGTTTCATTGCTGTTTCACTGTATTTTATATTGTGGAAACAGTTTGTGGGGTTGCTTACTAGAAATAATAGTTGTGTATGAATAGAAATATAGTTGGTTAAATAATTTGATTTCCTTTCATACACCAGTACTGTAGCAAACTATCAAAACCACAAGCAAAGCCTTTAACTTAAGCATGCTTGCTTTTTTGTTACTATTATTTACTCATTCACCTTCTTAAAAAAAGAGAAAGAGTCGCAAATGGCAATCGTAAGTTGATCTGATGTGTATGCAAATATTTAAGTTCTAGGCCCCCTCATATATAAGTATAGTATTCACAGTATCATTGCTTACATAAAGTGGAAATGCAGAATACCAGGGATATTGCCAAAACAAAAAAACCCAAAATGATATTTTAATGTAGGATTATAGGAAGAACTGGTGTCTCGTGCATTCATGATTTAGAGTGTTGAATATTTATTACGTATTTCACCAGCCAATTTTCTGTTTTTATTCAGTATGAGCCATTGTTCCTGAAATCTTATTAATACATTTACATTCAGTGCACTACTTATTTTATTTTGCAAACTATGATACCTGAGGAAAAATTACTGAGCTTCTTAAGCTGTACAATGGATTCAGGGAGGGTTTACAGGACATGGGAGTTGATATATTAATATTAATATATGGTATCTGAGGTCCCTTAGCAAGCTCACAGGGTGGTTGTGAGGATTAAAAGAAAAACTCTTATAATCAATGCTAAACGTCATCTATTTTTTTAATAAATAAATATGATTTCTTTTAATGCACCCTGTCTCTGGCTTCCCTTAGTTTGCTAAATTTGTGAATTCAGAGTCCACGTGAAATGCTTACAGCAGGGCCTAGCACACAGCAAGGGATAACTGAATGATGTTACTATTATCGCTGTTGCTGTTGTTCTGAAATTGTAGCGCTCTGATTCAGTGCAACAAGCAAGTGACTAAAGGAGTCAGGAAGTATTGTTAAAGTAAAACCAAATTTGTGGTCTTTCCAGTTGTAGGAAATCTGGAAAATATTTGCCACTGATTAGGAAAGCCTCTTTTGTTGTAATACATCCATCCCTATTTGGGAAAGCGGGAAGGAGATCTCCCAATGATATGTAAGAAAATAACGTGTGTAAAAAGTTATCTTGGTGTAAAATACAGAATTATATATGTTAACTTTCCTCTATTATCTAGGAAATAGATTTCTGGAAGTAAACAAAATTTACAGACAATAGAAATTATTGACTACAGAACCATCCAATTGTTTCAAGATGTGTATGACCCTCTGTTAACATTCTGGGTGAGATATTTCATCATCATTTTTATTTGTCTTTGACGATGCTCTAACAAATAAGATTTCCATTTAATAATTAAATACACAATATGAGTTTTTCTGTAGAATGATATAGGATTTCTCATTAAGTAAGGTAACCTGGAGACTTACCTAGTGGAGGACAGAAACAGGACCAATATAAAATGATACAGAATACCTGTGCTGCAAGCTAGGAGAATATTCCAGTAGCAGAAGGCATTGCCTCTCTAAATTTAAGCAGCGGAATGGTTACCATAGTGACTTGTCTCTTAAAATAGTTGTATGATTTTGTTCTCTTCATAAACAATGCTATGTATTCTCTCTCTTTAAGTAACGGAAGCTGCTATGTTTACCTACACACAATATCTGCTTTTTCTTAGTTATGGAAGGATTTATAATTTAGGTGCCCATATCAGAAAATGCCAACCAAGAACATGCAATAGGTCCTTGGCACTTTTCTAGGGATACATCTTGAAACTTTTGCAAATACCAAATTTGAGAATACCACCCCAGCATACCATTTCTCTGGAATTTTCCGTGCACAAAGATAAGAGGAAAATAAAGTTATGTGCTCACGTGGGTGCTGGGTCCTTCATGGTCTCCCCCTCCTTGCACCAGCCAAGTCTCCTATGCTGGTAGACCAGCCTTAGACAGCTGTTGTCATTCACATCTGTATCCCAGCAAAATCACACATTGTCACTTCATGACATAAACCTGTGGGGTTGCTCGAGATGAGAATTGAATCTGAGAAAGCCCAAGTATCGACCAGAGATAGGATTCTGCAGAGTATTCTTTGGAATGGAGTCGAATCCCTGTTCCGCAGATGTATAAAGCACGTTAAGGCGACAGAGCTTGACTAAGTCTCGGGGTGATTCAGTTTTTTCGTCTTCATGGTACAGCAATTAGGTGCATGGACGGTGAAGCCTGACTGCTACGTTTGTGTCCCAGCAAGGACATTTTCTAGCTGTGTCAACGTGGGTAAGGTACTTACCATTTCTGCGCCTCCATTCTCACCTTTAGAGTGGGGATTATCAGAATCTTACCCTATAGGGCTTTTGCAGGGATCCAATGAGTGAATTCGATAAATGTTAGCCATGATTATAATGATGAATTTTGCTCCGACTTTGAAAAATCCCCCATGTCCTGGTGACATTTTTGTGAAAAGGTAGCTAGGGAAATATTTACATG